CTGAGCCCTAAATTGGACCCATCTTATTCCACATTGTTGTTTACATAACAAACGCACGAAAAACCCTGATTCCCAAGCAAAACCCAACAGAAAGTTGGCGTGTCTACGGCATCCAAGAGAAAACTAGACTTGAAAAAGTTGTGCACGGAAGGAAGGAGTCTTTGACCAAATGAGTGTAGCGGCCCAGGCCCGGGTTGAACGGTTTTGGAGCACGTTTCGTTTTATTCTCCTGTGCTGCAAAAGGGTCTTCCCGCTGTTGGAACGATTTCGGGGGTAACTAAAACATTTGGCCTCTTCTCGCCTGTGAAATCTGTATGAAAGGACCCTTGTAAATAATCTTTACCGGCTCCCCGGCCTCTTGGCCGCCGGCACAAAATGGGAGCTGATCCTTGATGATCCCAAAGGGTCTGAGAGGTAGCCCACCCGAGTGGGTGGCTGTTTGGTAAAGGTGGATTTATTTTCAAACGCATATATATATATTTAACTACAAGCAAAGTTCTGGGGAAAACAAGACGGCCGCTTGGTTGGGGAACATTTGGCGAATATTTCCTTCCCGTTCCTTCGCGGAGCGGAGAGACTGGGGTGCCCAGAAGTGGTATCGCCCGGCCGGGCGCAGCGCAGGAGGGCCCGACTGGTCAACGCCGGGAGCCCCACGCGGATTCGCCAGCCAGCGGCCCGAAGCGTAAGCCGCGCGACCTTGTCGCAGACCCAGGAAAGCGGATCAGTTCCTCTGCCAGGCGGGCAATGTCCCTGCGGAGAATGAAATTTGCCGCCCCCTCCCCCATCGAGCCCCCGCCGGGCCCAGAGGCTCCTAGGACACCATTTATTTTAAGCCCGGGGACAGCGTTTTCTTTAATCCTCCATTATGTAACGCGGGAAGAAAAGGGCTTTGCTTTCCGCGCACATAAAAACTTTGGCAACTTAACGAAACTAAGCGGCAACGCCGTCGCTGACTGCCTGAATGGTTTCAACTTATATTCCCTTTTTTCCCCCCGAAAAAAAAGAAATCTTAAATTCGAACACATGACAAAACACAGGCCCTTTGGCTCTTCGGACCCCTATTACTCTCATGATATTGACCGACTCTCCAGGTCAGGAAAGCGCCTTCCCTCCCAAAGACCAGGCGGCCGCTCTCTAGCCTC